TAGTTTTGATATTTTGATACAATTCTAGTTTATTAGAAGTTCGTTTGATTTTATTTTATTTTGCTCTATAACTAGAGGGCTTATTCAATGTAATTAACAACTCTTGATTATAATAAAGGATATTTCTTCATTGCCCTCAATTCTTCTCTTCATTGTACCACTTTCTATTTCTTGTTCGTTAAGAAATTATACGCTCCAACGTCATAAACATTCTTCAATAATTTATAAAGAAAGCATAATGGATGTCCCTGCTAGATTGAGTATTTTGAGCTTCTCTCCCTTTTTTCCCCTTTTTACTTCTGTTGATAGAAAAGAGAACACTTTCACAAAATAGTACAAGTAAGAACTCATAATATATACAAGCTTCCATCGTGCTCACGAAAGTAGAATGTACTTTGAAAAATGGCATCAAGACACAACTTAGAGAAGGAATTAACTCCATGCAATCCCGTCCCCATTCCAACAGATTCGTCAATCTCAAATAATAATATAAAATATTCAACAAATTGTTTAGTAAAACCCACAAGAATTAAGTACTAAGAGCATACAGGCTTAATGGTTGGAAAAAAAAAAGATGGCTGCTATCTTTCATCCATCAACTATATATGTTTAGTAAAGTCATAGTTCAGGATCATTGATTCCCTTATCTTGTTACTTTTTGATATTTTAGGTATTTTAATATATGATATTAACTTCCATTCAACAATAACATGAATCACATCTTCAGTCTATATCACTACTAAACCAATTAGCTGTATACTTTCGACAATTTAGAATTTGGACTGGTGTATTAGAGTAAATTTCATACAAGAGGGCATACACAACACAATTGGAAGGGTGTGAATATCCAAGCTAGAAAATAAATATTATATCAAGTATATCTACACATGATCCAAAGGCACAAAACAGAATGCTACAACAACTGTAGAGAACTTACGATGAGATAGGAGTTGGCTGCAAGGCTTCTTTATCAAGCTGCACTTATAAGAAAAGGATAAAATAAGAATTTACCAATTTAGGCACCAATAATACAAGGCTAATTAAAGACATGCACAATAGACAAGAAAATAGTGACAAACACAGCAATCAAATGGTATAGTTACCCAAAGGAATTCCTTTTGAATTCTTTCTCTTTTTCAACATTCCCAAGTGTTGTATCATCTACCTTACCAAACAAGCCACTAAGGTTCTTCAATTTCTTCATATTAAGGATTGTCTATGATCATTTTTAACAATAAATGGAAAAAATAATTAATAAGAATTTCATTACAATCAGCTGCTATGGAATATCCATATATAGTGCAATCAACACACCACGGATACTTTTTCCTTTAGAAAAAGCAAGCAGAGCCATTAAGGTGGTGAAACAGGATTTTATTTCAATATCTACAAGTAAATTTTTAACCACTTGACCACTGAACTCATTCGTCGGCTCCATTTCATATAGACACAACAAAGTGAGCGGTCATTTGAATTGTGATTGGATCATGTGACCACATCTGGGATCATTTGCAGTTGTAAATGGGCATTCTAGATGTCTCCAACATAAAAACTAAGCATTGCTTATCGAAGATACCGTAAAACTTGTAAAGCATGCGTATTCATATATTTATCAGCTATTATGTAAAAAATAAAACTATTGTGGCTATACTTAAAATGATTTTTCCATAAAAGATGCAAATATTGATTCAGATTTAAAGTATACTTAATTAAAATGAGGCAAAGAGAAACGAATCTTGTGAAAAGATTAGGGGTTGACCAACAGTTATGGAATTCAGGGTCTCGAGGACTATGTTTACAGAAGGTAAAAAAATATTTTATGTAATTGTAACAACGGAAGATGACAGAAAATCATTTTCAAGACATATCACTAGGGAGCATCAAAAGTTCTTTTCCTCTTTTACCCATTTTAAGCTTATCTGGCATAAATAGAAAATATCTTATCATTAGACTTGAGTCACAACATGAACATGAAAGTCTGGCAAATAAGATGGAGATAAAGTTAAAAATTTGCTTCTGTACCTAGAGGTGTATAACTGGTGGAAGAGCCTATGGAGAAGACCACGGAAGAAGCAGATCAACTTTTGGAGAATATTAGAGAAGCTGGGTCAGACAAAGTTATCTCTAGGGTGAACACTCAGTTACCTCGTTAATGGTAAAAAGGGCATCTTTAAAGAATACATAGTGCACTCATCCATGCAAAGCATTTTTAGTGAAGCGAATGAATTAATTGTCTGAAGTAATGTCAGCTTGTGGAAGCATAATAGTGTGTCCTTCAATGAGCAAGAAGATCTTTATTGAAGCAGAAAGTGTGTATGGAGATTTATAGATTCCTTGCTATGATTTCTTTAAGTCGACGCTCATCAGCTTCTCTGTTTTTCTGCAAGTTCTATGAGTCAATGACATTTCGATGTAGTAACATTCTTATAGTTGTGATTCGAGTCTTGAGTAGGGTATTTAAAGTTACTGGCTTCGCACCATAATTTTTGACAAGTCAAATAAGTCTGTAAGTTATACTGGTTGGCTAAAGAGAGAGTAGAAGTTATGCAGATGCAGCAAAACATTGAAATCAAATGCAAAAGTAATTCTTAAAACTATTGATGTTTTCTTTCCGAAGCTAACTAAATATTGATTGATAAGATAACTCCAGCAATGAAAAAGATCCTCAAAAAGATTCAAATGTACCTCTGATGTTCAGAGACAACATAAATGGTTGCAGTACCTCATATTTAAAGCCCGAAGGTTTCTCATAGGTAGATACTCCTGACAGAGAATTATAATAGTATACAACTCCACTTTCAGTCCTGTGTGCTGTCCAGGCATCCAGTTGTTCTCCAACAGAAGCTTCATCCATGACCGCAACATTATTGGCGTGTTTACTACTATCTGTATAACATACAGGCAATGTTTAACAACCAAAATACAATATTTAATATCTTATAGTGTGTTTGGAATGATTTATAAACTTTTAAATAATTGAAAATGTGGTTAAAAATGGTGGGTCCAATGTAATGTATGTTGAAAAAGTTTGACCATTTACGAATCATTTATAGATTGATCCAAATGAATAATTAAATGCATTAACCTAAACAAGAAGTCTAGACATACCAATTCCAGGAGGTAACTCTTCCTGCGCTAACCCATCGGTTGACTGGTCACCAGAAGCCACTAAAGATGCAGAGTTGCCAACTGAAGATACTGCTGGAGTAACTCCAGGAGGTTGGGTATTGGGAAATGAAACAGAAATTGGCAGCATAGAACGAGTAGGCATGGGAAACGGACCAGGAATAACAGTAGGGTATGGTGAAAATGGTGGTCTAACAACACCACTGATCTGTGGGGACTGCAACCACGGACCTGGAGGAGCTGCTTGAAATGGAGTAGGATAGGGAGTAAATGTCTGCTGCTGAACTGGGAAATTAGAGAGAACAGGAGCAGTAGACATGAAGGATCTTGGGGTTGCAGGAGAATCTGCAGATGAAAGGGCAGCAGTTATATTTGAAGATGAATGTACAAAGGAAGAAATTCCAGGGGAGCCAGGAATTAAAGGAGTTCTAGGCACTCCTGGAGGCACCTGAAATGATGGTGCAGGGTGCATTTGAGCAGCCATGCTGCTAAAACTATTAGCTGCAAAAACAGTTACTGAAGGATTTGGATTTGTAAGAGCTGGCTGAGAGGCAGACTGTGTGGAAAGCTGTGCAGAAGCAATTGCTCCAGTCTCTTGAGTAGTGTTAGCTCTTGCATGCTACAGCCAGAACAAAGCCTATAAGCTCAACAGCAATTCCAACTATCTTGCATACAGTATAAAGTGGGAGCTATATGCCTACATCCACATTCAGTGGGACAGTGCATCTAAGAAGAAGAAACTGAACCAAAATACATACAGTTTTCATTGATAGGTTGTTCTGCATCAGCTGCTGATTCCCATTAAAAGAGAAGTTTGCAGAATGTGAGGAGCTTCCATGAGGAATACCAACAGGTCGAGGGCCTGGAGGGGTCATGACTTGTGCAACTGTTCCTGGTACAAATGAAACAGGTTGTGAGGTGTGTGAAGGAGCAGGAGGAAGCAAGAATGCTGACTGTGTGGATGGTGTAGGAGATGAAGCATTCTTTCCGACTGGAGAGTGACCTTGCTCAACAGCCTGCCATGAATCAATAATAATTATCATAAACTTCCTTGGACACCTAATGATGTAAAAGAGGATTTCTCAAAACACTGTCACGTCAAATTTCTTATGATTAATCAACTTAAAATCCCCAGTAACATCTCATTAAAACTGAAATCACAATGTACTTCAGTCAGGGGCTTAACACCCTATGAACAATAGGAACAGAGGAAATCCTGGAATTACAAAACAGTGGGTAAGAGAGTGCTATTAGATATTGATAAGGAACTTTTAAAAGGTGATAAAGATATTTTCAGTGTAACAAAGGATAAACCAGAATCCATCATAGAAAACAAGATTATAATTTAATCTAAGATCATGGTATTTTTTGTACTAAAGATGTCCCACCCCAACAATTAAAATTATCAATTAGCTAAGTGATAATTCCCTCTTAAACACGTTTCCTAGCACGCGTCTCCTCGTAAACAAATATGTGATAACTAATGAAGATTTAGTGCCCGATGATTTATTGGCCACTGTACAAAGTATTTGAGATACCAGAAAGAAAAAACATTCCAGTAATTTCCACATCAATCATTGATGGTTCTAGAACTGCTGAGCCTAAGTTACATGCAATAACACCTAATTACTACTGGAAAATATATAAGAGATCATTGGGCCATGTATGCTTTTCATAATAATTATGACCTGTCTACCCATATATTTACCCAAGTTAGGTCAGTTTCATGAAATGTATCTCAAGATCAAATCAAGAGAACATAGGAGACTGGACAGCATCGATCCAATTGAGGCTACAGACTATCCTCCCCCACATAAAAGGACTATTCATATAAGCATCAGAATTGTTGCTGAAGCAGCTTAACAGAACATAATGAGAAGGTTTTTACTTAATGGGTTTCTTAATACACATACACCGCAAAAATGTGTTCAGTTGAGAGTATATACAGCCTACACTGAGAGCAGATAACTGCTGACCACAAGAGAAACTGTCTCTAGAATGTGAAAAAGACGAGCATCACTTGTGGACAGACCAGAGATTGTAATTCTAATCAGCACAATGAAACCTTTGTATATTTAACTAAAATACAGTGTGTTCTTATTTTTGTGATTACTTACCCAACTAGCCGATGACTGCTGTGAACTTCCAGAAGGTGGATTGTTCCCATTCAAGTACGAGAAGGAAGGTTGCACAACACCATATGCACTAGCACCATTTTGTTTTGGTTCAAATGCATCTTGTGAAGGAGCAGTTGGAGTCGGACTGGATACAGAGCTCAGCTCCGCCATTTCAACTTTAACTTCTTAAATAACAATAAAGAGTCAACCGCGAAGAACTGCCCAAAAAGAAAGAGAGAGTATGAATGTAAAAAGGGAACAATCAAAATTAATTGCCTACATATTTTTACATAGTACTTTTCTCAGAAGACTAAATTCGGCTTGTAGAATTCAACTAAAAGATAAAAGAATTGACATTTGACAAAATGGGTAGGGTGAAATTACACATATTTGAAACATTCAACTAGAACCCACTAGTCACATACGTAATTAAGCGACAAAGGAAAAATTAACAATAACAAAACGAACATACAAAAGTCTGCGTAATCAATGACGAAGAAAGGGTATAATTTTCTAAAAATTGGATCAGTATCAATAAATAAGAAAGAGTAATTTAATAATAAAAATAACAATGAACAAATAGGAAGAAACGTACGGAGTAGCGAAACGAGAGGGAGGGAGGGAGGCGGCGAAAGAGAGAACTGAGAAGTTACTCCGGCTATGGCCTCGGGCTCTGGAAGGGGGTTAAATGTAGCGCGACTTGGGAGACAAAATTAAACCGGGATCACGATTTTAAGTTATTTTCAACCTAGGTCCCTGATCTTTTGAATTGTTTTATTATCGAAACGGCTATTGTTGTTCATTATATACTTCGACCCCAACTTTCAATTGGCTTACTGTCAATTGAGTAACTATAGTTTAATTTTCTATCACTTGGATCCTTACACTTTAATTATGTGTCCAATTTAGAAAACTTTTTGAGTTACAAGTAGATACAACTAACAAATTCATATCACAAATTAGACTTGCGGAATTAAAAATATAATAAAGCTAGCTGTACAAACATGGTTGACAAGTAAACGTGATTCTTAAAAATAACTTAAATTGTAGCTTGGCTTAAATTGATATAAACTTAAAATATAATAATTAATCCATACAAAATTAAAGTATATAACTCATTCAACAAAAATCGAAATATACCCAAAATGATGTCAAAGTATCCTAACAAAGTCTATAATATGGTATACAAATTTTAATAAATTTCTTTTTTGATCATTGCATTTTGAAATGTGTCCTCGTGGTTCATTAATATTTGCAAACTTTTCTTTTGATATATAGCCACTTTCTGGTGGGAATTAAAATTAAATTTTTAGTAAATTTTAATAAAAGTCGATGAAATGTATAATTTAAAAGTCGTGGATCCCATAAAATGTGTAGTTAAAATTAATTATTGATTTTAATTTGAATTAAAATTTTAATTTTAATTTCTACCAATTGATGACATAAACTTTTAGCTCTTCCTTTTAAGATAAATACTAATTGTTTCGTGAGACTTAAATGTTTTTTAAACGTATTGTATCCAAAAACAATAAGAAAACTAGCCATTTTATGACATAATTGTGAATTTTCAAGTATTGCACCTCTCAAAACCTGCATTTCAATCGTTAATTTGAAGAGATGGTCTTCAAAAGTTATGCATATGTAAAATAGTTAAAGAGTTTTACGAGGTCCAACTCGAATTAGTTCTGCAAAAGTATCGAACCAACGAATTAAAGTAGTTAGATTTTTATGCAATCCGACTAGGATAGATTTTGAACAAGTATTGAACCAACGAATACTAGTTTTGTCTGAATCAATTTCTTCGTGTTTAAACACAAATATATAGAATCTAAGAGGATATCAGAAGAAACGGGCTTACAATATGAAGGGGATGCATCATTCACTATATAATCTATACAATAGATCCAAAATTACAAAGCCAGCGAATATGAAAGCTCTTTCAAGAGGGAAATAGGGGAAGGAAACTTCAAAATTGTGGGAAAAGGTGGCCGGGAAGAAGGGCAGAAAGCATCCCACGACAAACCCGAGCCCTCTCTATCCCAGTAAAACAAAGCGAAATATATCATACTAGAAAACTCAATCCTAATTGAGTTCTCCTATACACACTTGAAGCCAGGACAAACAGACAGAATGATGATGAGAACCAAAGCTACAATGATACCAAACACAATCAATTTAATCTTCATATTCTCGAACCACATTTTTCGCCTAATCTTGGTCCCCTGTTTCCTAAAATCCTGCGCCTGGAAACCCGTCAAAACACACAAAAATCTTAATCAAATTTCTGAACGAAAACATAATTCATGCATCAATTAAGTTAAGAAGATCTTGACACACTCGAAGGAGTGGATTATATGCAATTTGAATATGGCTTCCTTGGACTAACCTGTGATCTGAGATTATCAGATTTATCAACAAGCAGCTCAATCTTCTCACCTCGGTCAAGAACCTAAATATAAGAGGAACAAAATTAGCACAATGAGGAATAGCAAAACTTTTAAATACCTAGGGAACATGGAAAACTTCTGTACCTTCTCGATGTTTTCCATCATGACACCCTTTACTTCAGAGACCTGAGCCTTGACTTTAGCAAGTTTGCTAATTTCTTCAGGGTGATCAGCACAGTACTGCATATGCTCTTTCAATTTTGGCCTAACATAGCAACAGGGTGTTCAACAAAGCCCACACAAAATGGAAAGCAATATGTAAAATGTGAAAAAGCAATTACCCAAATTCCTTTTTCAGGCTATTGGCACCTGCAGTTGTGGCTTTCCCTCCTCCATATCTCTTGTTAAAATCATCCTTAACACGCTCTAGAAAGGCAATTGGAATTTGCCTACCAGCAGACTCAATGGCAACAACACAATAGGCTACAAAATAAAGCATAATGTATTTCTTGAGAAAATGGATTGAGGTGAAATAAGGGGAAGGGAAAGCCAATTTCCTGCGCATGTTTGGTTATCAATAAATATAGTTTATATTCCATGTACATTAGCCGGGAAAGTTACAGTATAAAGCAGCTACTTGAGTAGATTCAAATCTAACTACATGCACACATTACAATGGGAACAACCATTCACAAGAAAGAATAGGTTCTGGCAGCTAAAAATGACAAATGTGGCATGCAATGAGCAATAAGAGGGGGAGTAAAAAATCCATGCAAAGCCCGTAATAAATCCTGCCTTGTTGATGTGCCCAGGTATCGTAGGCACGGACTACTACACAACCTTGTCCCTCCATTCTATTGCCATCAACCTTCACGAATACACCCCAAGTGTCACGGACAACATCAAGAAATCACAGGGAGTCTAGTTGTATGTGCCTTTTTAAATCTTTGTCGCAATTGTAATGATGCATTATAATTCCACATCCTTTTGAGCTCTATAATCTATTACCATCACTTAGTGTGTTTTGCTGAGTACATATGAGGTAAGTGAGCTATTGAAAAGTTATATGCAAAGGAGTTGGCAGCAAATCATGTCCCTCAGAGTTCCTCCACAATAATAGTAGATTCATATATATTTCAATTGTGAACGAAACCCTTTCCGAACTTCATAGATGCGCCTCGTGAGAGCAGATCATGGCATTGATGAACGTAAAAGAGAAGGAGATTACATCGAGATCTTCTTCCCATGACCTTTTCAAACCATTTTCGCGGGATCAGTTTTGGGAAAATCTTAATCGGTCGAGCAAGAAGGGAGTGACAGGATCCATAATTATTTCCTTTTCCCTACCATCAAATAGGATCAGAAGAAAATCACATTTCCATGTACAACATACCCATATTTATACACACAAATTGGCCCAAGATAATAACAAATCAAACAAAATGATCATAGACCACACAGATCAAATCAAAACCAAACAAAAAATGCCCAAATTCACACCCATAAAAAAATAAATAAAATTGTAAATGAATTATCCAAAAATGAGGGTGCATACTGAATCCATTTTCCACAAGGTAATTGAAGGTGTGGCCATCGCAATTGTAAGTGAACCTGTTGTTGGATGCCGGCAGCTTCTGCAAGCATTGGGAGGCAATGCCGGTGAAATTACCCTTGAATCCCGTAAACTCTACTAATATAACCGTGCCTCTCGCCACAAAGCTGTAGATCAGTGTCTGCTGAGTACCCATAATCTGTATCTTATATATGATTTTCCACAAGAAAAACCCAGAACCCAATTTGAATAAGGAGAGAGCAAAAAAAGTGATATGAAAATATGGACAGGGAAATGTATTGCATTCAAGAGAGAGAAAAATCTGTGTAGAAGAACGGTTAGATCGGAGAAAAATCAGAAAGAGAGTAGAATTTGAGGAATCACTATCAATCTATATATAAACAGTAAATAGCACATTTCTATAATTAGCCAAATGTTATTGTATCAATCAACACTTCAAAGCCCATGTTCGACAACCAGTCCCTCTCTCATACCTGACTTCCCCATATTTGTCCAGCTCCGTAAAAACACAAAAAATTTTCTTTGGAACAAAATCTGCAGACTCCTATTCAGTTCTTCAATTAGCCTAGCATCTTTTCCATAAAGTTTCCATCCCATGGCCTTCTCCCATAACCTTCGATTTTCATCCTGGGCTCAAAATAAAACCCCTTAAATTGTACCATACTCATTGCTTCTTGAATCTGGACACTCACGCTCTCTCTCCAGTCTCCCCTCTTACAGTCTCTTCCCGCGTCTATAACGTTCGCTTCTTTTTGTGTTTTGAAGGCTTTGTATTACGAATTTCCTGGCTTTTGTACTTGAGCTCAATGGCTCGTTTAGGTAGCAGTTCGTTATTGGGGAAATTAGGCCATGTACTCTAAAAAGTAATCCATTTAGATTAATTCTCTTAATTAATTAAACATCACATGCACCCGTATTAAATACGTTCTAAATTAAAATAAAAACTCTTTGCGCCCCATGAAATTGAGCCGCCTCCTTTGAAGCTCAAAAACTCCTGCCAACCACCACCGGATCACCATACCGTTGGAAAGCTCTCATCACCCTCTACAATTCTCAACCAACATCTTGCTTCAAACTTACCAGAATCAGCTGGAAATTTGAGCCAAAACCAGCTGAACACGTACCAAAATCTGGTCGAAAACTTG